ACGTCATCTTCTGTGTTCTCCAGAAAATCCAGAGGTTTCTTCTAAACATGAATCAACCTTGCCTCTTTATTCTGGTTTATTTCATAAAAACGTATTGTCTGTAGTTAGGTAGCCTATTACATTGTTACGCTATTTCTTATTGAAAAATAGAAACCAGCGACGTAAGGTTTCTTTCGCTCTCTGTTGTGCTAAATGACTCCAGGAAAGTGATTTATGCAGCAGGATACTGTCGCTGCATGCATTACTCTTACATCTGTCATTCAAAGGTTATACTTATCAAAATACTAGTGTTTTTGAATAATGGCAAACTGTCTCAACGTTTAATTTCGCAAAATATCCTGTTCCATCGAAGAAATATTACTTTGAGTAGCGGTTTCATTTGTTTATTGTTTTTAATCAATCAAATATGTCCAAAAATTAGGTTTAATTTCACTCAGGTGTCTTTTTTGAAATCATCTGAACCTAAAATGTTTTCACATTGGCCGTATTTCTGACAAGAAAATATGACAGTGATGGATATTGAGTAGCGAAACGTACAAGTATAAATCAAATGATTATCCGTAGTATTAGTAAACACACAGTGTTAATATCATGGCTAATAATCTGTTGGTTTTGTGCTTCCTATTGGTCGATCATGTAGAATTGGAATACCTGGTCTCTGTTGAAGTGTGGGTAAAGTGAGCAGGCAGATAATGCTTTGGGATTTGAAATGGTGAACGCAGGGTAGGAGTCTCAGTGAGAATAAACTCATTCACTGAGGATTGCATCCACCAAATAGGATGAAGTACGCATCCCAGATTTCGCTGCTAGTCAACACAGACTGACATAACTTGAACCTCCGAAATAAGAACCAAGTACGTGAATTAAGTTCAAGGATTAGAAAAACTTGTTCGGAAGACACGATAGAAAAAGAAGTAAATTCATTAAGTGAAACTCTATTAGAGAAAGGGTATCCATCAGAATTTATCAACACAAGTCAAAACTGTTCATAAGGGAACTCTCTCCATGAACTTGTAATTCAAAGGTGACATTGGAGTAAAACTTTTCAGAAACCGCCTTTCCAAATGCCTGAAGAAGAAATTTCAACCAGTCACCTTACGTATCACATTCATTAGGAGAAAGTTCAGTCTAATGTAAAGGATAAGATACCGCTTTTGGCCAACTCAGTGTGTATTTATCAGTTTATTTACTCATGTGGAGTAAGGTATTTGGGCCGTACGCAACGTCAAGTTCACAAACGTATTCTGGATAATTCTCCAGCTTGGTTGGCTAGAGTAGAAAAAGAAGAATTGTAGCAGCTTCATTCTCGAAAGCCTTGTCAACTGTGGACATCAAACACTCCCACATAAATACTTCCAACTATAAAAATTCTTTAGTTGAAAATTTTCAACTAAGTCAAACCGTCGATCACTGCCACATTTATTAATAATACATAGACGACACATTCGTTATCTGCGATAGTAACGTTAGTCTTGATGATGTCTTGTGTGCTTTCAACAACTGCGATCCTTCTGTACAATTCACCATAGAAAAGGAATCTGAACTAAGCATTCCGTTTCTTGATGTGTGCCTCAGTAGACATAATGACGGATCTCTCAAAGGTCTACATACTGGAAAGGTACATGGAACGGACAATTGACTGTTTTTTTATAGTTGAGTGCCTATCTCCACGAAAAGCAACCTAATTCACTCGCTCTGCTTTCGAATGAGAAACATTTGTAGTTCTGATTGCGTTGACTCAGAACTTGACTTCTTAAAAGCCACGCTCGCAGAAATTGGTTACCCGAACGGATTCATTGACAGTAACACTAAAGATAATCTGTTCACTCACTCAGTTCAAAAGAAAACCTTGTTCATGCACTTGGAATTCAGCGGTGATCAAGCTTCAGATATGCTCAAAAATCGTCTCTCTAAAGCAGTCAGTTAGACGTTCGTTGCCGAGAAATTACAAATGACGTTCACCAGACTCAAGTTTTTCTCTGTCTTTGTAGAATAACGTAAAATGACGAGAAAGTATTTTAATAGAATCTCTATGAAAACACAATAATAATAATAAACCTCAGTAGAGTGATAATAAGAATAATGAAAATACTACTAACAGTGAACGTATATAATAAATGAAGCAAAAGTATAGTGAGGATGCTTCTCTGGTCATGGTAGGGTGATTAAATGCTTGTGGTACTTTTGAATGCAGAGGTCTGCTTTCAGACTCCAAATGGCCAATGATTTAGTTATGTACACATGGCGTATTCGAAGTCCTTTCGTATGATAATAAGGGACTTGGTTTAGCACTGTGAAGCACTTATTTGTGAGTGTTTTATGTCCATAGTTGTCCACACTTGATTGACTACTGTCACCCTACCAACCTCGACCATGGTTTTGAGATCATCTTCCGAATCCATGCTGACTTGCCGGTCGCGTTTTCTTCGATGCAGACTTTAGAGACGGCGGGGGACTTAGCATTTCATGACTTTAAGCCAGACCTATGTGTACAAAAGATGTATGTGCAATCCTTAATTCTGCCTTGAACGTAGATAGATAGACATTTATTTATTTCTATATTTATTTTGTTTATGTAGTTATTCTATGTACTGATCCCTTGTTACTACGAGTATTATTATAATTATCGTTATTACTATTCTCACTGTGAATTGTATTCGCTTGTCCCACTTGTCACTCTAAATCCAAAATTATTTTTCTACAATATTGAATTCTATCTTACCAGTTTTCACACAGCATGCTATGTAACATTTCACGCTCACCCACTAGTCCTATAATTATGTATACCTTTCCAAAGTCTATACACCTTATGTATTATTCTATATATGACATTAATTATTTTGCCACTTGACATTAAACTATGATTATAATCACAAATACTTTATTAAAATAGAGGTTTTTGTTTTTGATGTGGTTTTGTTCTCTGAGCTGGATGGTTAGTTTGCGAAGCTTTCATCACCTTACTGGGTGACATCTTCAGCGCATACTTCAATTTGAAGTGAGCTTTCAGATTTATCCACGAGTTTAATAATCATCTCTCCTGGTGACCTTGGACGTGATTGCTTGTTTGTGTGTGTTTTCACACCTTCTAGGTTACTTGCATTGGAACCGGTTGTTTCTTTGACTTGAACTTTGACCCTTTGTGTGTGGAGTTTCTTTCTTATTGGTTGATAACTTTTGTCTATCTCGATGTGTCTATTGATTGATGATTCACTGGAATGCCAAGCTTCTAAAAATTCTCTAGCATTCTTGTTATTTCCTTTGTCTAATATTTGAACGTTGTCCCAGTCGAATTGATGTCCGTAGTTGTCTGTGTGTAGTGAAATGAGGGAGTGGATATCATGTCTTTTGACGGCTAGCTTATGATCGTGGATACAAAGACGAAGGGGACGTCCACTTTGGCCAATTTAGTTTGTTTTTCGCAGTTGTTACAGTTTATTTTGTAGATGATGTTGGTTTTGTCTTCTTTCGCTGTTGAGTCTTTTGGTCGACATAGAATTGAATGCAGCGACTTTGTTGGTTTGTGTACGACGTCAATTCCTTAAGGTTTGAAGAGTTTTGTTGTGATTTCTGAGATATCTTTTATATATGGTAAGGCAATTTTATTTGTGCTTTCCTTGGTGGCTTTTGCTTTGGTAGGTTGGCTTGGGGTATAGGTCTACACTACATCCGCCAAAGGGGACGTCCCCTTCGTCTTCGTATCCACGATCATAAGCTAGCCGTCAAAAGACATGATATCCACTCCCTCATTTCACTACACACAGACAACTACGGACATCAATTCGACTGGGACAACGTTCAAATATTAGACAAAGGAAATAACAAGAATGCTAGAGAATTTTTAGAAGCTTGGCATTCCAGTGAATCATCAATCAATAGACACATCGAGATAGACAAAAGTTATCAACCAATAAGAAAGAAACTCCACACACAAAGGGTCAAAGTTCAAGTCAAAGAAACAACCGGTTCCAATGCAAGTAACCTAGAAGGTGTGAAAACACACACAAACAAGCAATCACGTCCAAGGTCACCAGGAGAGATGATTATTAAACTCGTGGATAAATCTGAAAGCTCACTTCAAATTGAAGTATGCGCTGAAGATGTCACCCAGTAAGGTGATGAAAGCTTCGCAAACTAACCATCCAGCTCAGAGAACAAAACCACATCAAAATCATCCACCTGAGCTACAAATCTTCTCTATCATATCTAGAGGTTTTTGTCTTTTCCAATGAATGAAAAACAAAACGAGATTGTTTTTACTGACGTTTCGCTATTTAATGCTAAGAGCTTTCTCAAAGTATTATTAAAAACCGGAATTAACAAAATCTCAGCATATATATAACAAAGAGTTAGGGGGTGAGAAAAATATAGACTAAGATCAAGTTAAAAGGACATATTGAAAGTCAAAATAACAATGAAGATCGTTAAAACCAAATATCAAAGGTAATAGTATATCTGTTATATATATCAAAATAAAGTTTACTAACTTGATCATCGTTTGTTAGTCTGGGATCATTTAGGTTGTCCAGTTGGAGAATAGGTAAAGGTAACCAACCTAAGTGTAGGTTGTGAAATACTTGATCATCGTTCGTCATGTATTTCATACTACTATTATTATTATTTCATGTATTCATACCTTTGACCTAGTTCCCTCACCGGATATAATTTCTTAAAAACCATATATATATAAATATATAGGACTCAGTGTTAATTGTTTTGAATTCATTTGTAAAATGGAGTTCACTTGTTCCAGCATGAAAATCCTCTGAATTTCATTATGTATAAACTCATCGCCTTAAAAAAACCAAGGACTATTCTTAATAGATTAATGAATCTTATGTCACATTCTAGAATGTAGATATCCCTATCAATGTAATCAGCTGAATGTTCATGCCTTATATCTTAAATGCCTTATCAATCAATAGGTGAAAGTTCAGGCAGCATTATTTTATTCTCTCTCTCTCCCTCTTTTTCTATTCCTCTCTCACTGTTGCTAAAAGTTGAACCGGAGGTTAATGAACACAAACAAACCGACGCACCATTCCCTGTGGTACAAAAGACTTTGGCTAAAAATCCAAGTGAGTTTTCATGTAGTTTTTGTTATTTGTTCACAATAAACTTGTTTCAGACTTTGAATGTAAAGTGAAACAAGTCGTAAACATTAATGTCAGTAAAATGTTTGAGCACTGTGGAGTAGATTAAATAAAGTATAATTATATTTCAATAGTTTACACACACAATGATAAGTTTTGTTCTTAGTAATATTTTGAGCGATTCAATAAATTTCACTCTGGAAATAGAGAATACAATTGTGGAACTACCCATGTTAGACTGCAAAATACAAACAGTAACATATGGTAGTACATAAACGACGATATTTAGAAAAACTACATACTCCGGAAGATTCCTTGATTATCCCTCAGCTCATCCACTCACGTTAAAACGAGGATTAATACAAGGTCCTTCAGATAGAATACGCTGACTTACAACAACAACAACAGAGGACCAACGTAAAGAATTAAACGTCCTATTCAAAATGTTACTCGACAACAACTACCCAAAAGAATTTATCAGAGATAACCTAAAAAAGAGAAAATAGAGGGTAAAACTGTAGAATGAAAAGACGGAAGAATGCAAAAGAAAAACCGTCACAATACCATAAAAAATGGTACATCAGAGGCTACTGGATAAAAAGACCTCAAAAATATTGGGATTCGCACGATGTTCATACCGAAGAATCTAATCAAAATTAAAATAAATCAACTGAAAGTTCCCATAAAAATAATGGATGAAAACAGTGTAATTTACAAACAGATATCTTGTGCTGACTGTCCGACTAAGCATGTCAATCAAACGTCCAGATCACTCACAATTGGAGTGAATGAACATAAACGCCTAACTAAAGGTCAACCGACAGGAACACAAGCTTACAACAATTTAGAATAAAATCCATCAGTAGCTGGACATGCATGGGACAAAAACCACAATATCGATTGCTACCAATGGAAAGAAAGACTTATAACAGAATCTATATATTCATTAAGGTCACACCGGATACATGCAACAAGTAGGTGACTCAGTACAACTGTCAACAACCTGGAATATAATTCTAAATACCAAATATTTAGAGCGAACAATTGTTTTCAATAAATTCTTCTTCAGGCTCTACAATTATAAATCCATTAATGTAAGCATACAATAGCCAGTAAAGGCGAATTAGAATCATATCAGAAAGTGTATTGTGGAACAAGTATAAGTTGGGATGAAACAATAGTCATATAGTCATATAGTTTTTTAATATGCATGGTCAATAACAACATGGGACAGAATGAGATGAAATAATTTAATGATGTGTGTATATATATAAATATAGTTAACAGAAAATACAGATTTCATGAGTGAGTGTAATCAGGGTGTGTGAGGCAATATGAAAATAAACCAACGAATGGGGCGGTCTAGACTTAAGTTCTTAGCCCACTTGGTAGATACTGGACACCCGATAAAACTTGACCAAGTGTTCTCAGTTATTTACCGCGTTCCTAGTAATTTATCTAGAGGAGCTCTTCTATCAGTAGCTGAAGCAGTTGCAATTAATATCAGAAGACCATCCCTCTGCATACAGAAGAAGTATGTTCAACCTCTATGTTTACCTTGGCCTACAATAAAGCCAACAAATCCTCCATTAACACTTTAAATTCCTTTCACAATTTTCTTTTCTTTTCCTTCTTCTATTCCTCTGTTTCATTGACAAACGTTCATTTTCGACTTTGATGATTTCATGACCTTTCTTATGATTTTATTACCTTGGGTTTAAATAGTGCTTTTCTAACTTGCTATCGTATTTACAAAATCCTGTTCATTTCACTTCATTATATTCATTATTATTATTTGACAATCATTCACCAATAGTACATTTAATTTTAATTTTACACCATATCATCGTCATCATTTTACAATCATTCTTATTGTTGTTATTTTCAACCTTGAACTTAAGTCTAGACCGCCCCATTCGTTGGTTTATTTTCATATTGCCTCACACACCCTGATTACACTCACCCTTGAAACCTGTATTTTCTGTTAACTATATTTATATATATATACACACATCATTAAATTAAATTATTTCATCTCATTTTGTCCCATGTTGTTATTGACCATGCATATTAAAAAACTACATGACTATATGACTATTGTTTCATCCCATCTTATACTTGTTCCACAATACACTTTCTGATATGATTCTAATTCGCCTTTACTGGTTATTGTATGCTTACATTAATGGATTTATAATTGTAGAGCCTGAAGAAGAATTTATTGAAAACAATTGTTCGCTCTAAATATTTTGTTCTGAATAAATTATGGGAATATTTAATTTACTGAATTGTAAATACAAACACATGAATGAACGTGAAATATAATTCTGAATACAAAAAAAAATGAATAAACGACAAAAAAAGAACTATATATATGAGTACAAATCATAAATGTGTGAATAAAACAATTCCAACAGTGGTGTGAACACGGGCAGTAATTTTGCTCGAAGTATTATCAATAACAAAAATCTTATCATTGTGTGTTAACTATTGAAATATAATTATACTTTATTTGAGATCGTAAACACCTGATGCTACATGCTACTTATTGACTGAAATGAAAAGTGTTTAGTATCCATATCAATCAATAGTACTTAGAGTGAATTAATTAGAGTTTTATTTCAGTAATTGTGTACACACAATGAAAAGTTTATTATTTTGGTAATATTTCGAGCAAAATTACTACTCTCGATCACACCAAATGGAGGAATCATTTTCTAGTCCACATGCATATATATATAGTTCATTTGTGAGCATTGAAAGTTACATTTCAGTTTGTGGACAGTTGTACTGAGTCACCTTTGTTACACGTATTCAGGAGTAACCTTAATGAACATAGATTCTAAAATCAATCTCTTTCCCTATGTTCATGTTTAAATTTGGAGCATAAATGTTGCCCCATCCGTTGGTGTGGTTTTTGTCCCATTACTTTATGCTTGCGTTCTAGTGAGATGACGTTTAGTTAGCTGTTGATATTCGTTCACTCCCATTATGAGTAATCTCTGTATACAAAAGAAGTATGGCCTTCACTTATTATATCGGTTATTATTGTTATTATTCTCACTTTGAACTGTTTCCGGTATTATTTCACTTCTCCCACTAGCCATTCTAAATCAAATCTTTCTAAAATTTTAAAATTCTGTGTTATCAGATTTTGACAACATGTCATGTGACGCTTATATTCGGCTAAAATCCCTATATTTTTCACCGCCTATCAAACATCTAGACATGTGACTTACATATTTAATTGACTATTTTTGCAATTGGTAAGGATTCGATTACTTTTTGAGGTTTCTTCTAATTGTCAGTGGTAAGGTAGTGCGAACGATGTTTGCAGTCCTCTTCCTTGTCACTCTATGTGATTTTAACCTCTTTCGTTTTCTCTTTGTATTATCTCTATCACATTCTTTTGAGTAAATTTTTTCCCAGTAACATTTTCAATATGACATGTATTTCTTCACTTTGGTCATCTGGGTTTGTTGTAAGTCTGCTTGAAATGCCACCAAGATAAAAGAGAACTTTTCATTGTGTGTGTAGACATCTACTGAAATATAAGTATGAGTAATTTATCTACTGCAGCATGCACAACGTTTTCACATATATATGTATATATATGATATATAACGTGATTTAGCTATGCTTGCTTTGTTCGTTGATATTTATGGTATCAAGCTAGTCATATAGTATGCTTTGGATAATTTTGCTGTGTCGTGACATTTCACCTCGATCAGTGTAGATTGCAGATTGAGAATTGAAAATAAGATGCATTACTTGAAATAAACTGCCGATTGGGTCAGGAATGCATAACGGCAATTTGGGCATGGCTACGAGATGTCAAATGGGGATCGGAGTGATCATGTGAGTGAGAAGTGACAGCTTATGTGTTATCGCGCAGCCAGCTAAATAGCACTACAGAGAATATGAAGAAACAGCGGTGGCCAGTTGAATCCCCATGGTCTATGCAGGACTTAATCAAATGATATTCATAATTCCTGCTGGAAAAATTGATGTTTTTTTGGAGATTCCTTTTGAATGAAGAAAATATGTATATATGGAATAATCCTAATCGCATTATTCCTATCGATAGTAATTATACAGAATAGACTTTGCAGCGTTTTTAATACATATTGCAACAATTCGCCTCCTTTTATTAATATGCATATTCATAAAATTTTAAAAAATGGCAATAAAAACAGCACAAAAACTTGAAGCTGCTGGAATCATGATGAAATCAAAAAAAAATAATATAATAGATAATACACGTATTAATAATAATCTCCACTCATACTCTGCAGGTCAGTTCCTGATTTAAAATATTTATAAGTTCCTCCCTGACATCTGAATCTTCACATAAAACCGGCCGACGCACTCCGCTTTGCGTGCGTCGGTGGCACAGTGGTTAGGACTCTCCCCGACCATGTACATGGTCTAGGGTTCGAGCCCACGCCGACGCACACCTGATATCTATGGTCGGCCTGCGAAATTTGGGCTACCGATATCCATGCTGAAAATTCCATACTTGTACCAAAAATACAGTGTGGAATCAAGCTGTAATCGAAAATAAATAAATAAATACTGAATATTGTCTGGCAGTACTATATTCAGTTTTATCAGAGCGAATTCGCATGAAGTTTTTTCAGGTTTCACACAAAGATATACACAGAAAGATTTGCGAACAAGTGTAGAGAACTTTCGGTATCAGAAAAGATGACACTTTTACTCACATTTCTGTGATAATCGTAGTGCCTATGAACAACAACAATGTCAGTCGATTCAGTCGAAGGCACACCATTTACACCCTTCACTGTACTGCTTTAAATGATACAGTCTTCTACGAGGATTTCAGGAAAGAATATGGGCGAAGAATAACAAAGAATAGACAGAATACATAAATCACTGGAATCTAAGAAAAGAGGAAAAGTTATCCCAATAAGCTGCACAATAGTATTTATATTTGAATTTTAAAGAATTATATCCAGCGGGGA